AAAACCGAACGACTGTCAGATAAAGTTGGTTGACTTTATGTTTCAAGGTCACTTCAAATGACAATTTGCCCTAGGTTAAAATTCCTCCACAAAGATTTCAACAGGGTTTCGTCAGAGGCCTGGCAAATGCGCACATGCACATGTGGAATGCAAACGATCTCAACGGTTGGCTATGACGACATGAAAATAGCAGTGGCTCGATGAAAGGATGGTTGAATGGATGGATTTAGATGGAATGAATAGACGCGAAATAAGGGAACAGGAAAGGGGAAGAAAGGGGATTGATAGATGCAAATTGAGAGGACTGGTTGAATGGATGTGGGATGAAAGGAGAGCAAACAAATGGACAGGATGTAGGTTGATTACATACAGGCTAGACTTGCGATCAAAGTAAGACTGAACAGATACTGATTAAAGTAGCATACGTGCTATGGAATAATTTTCTGCGTTTGAATATCAGGGGAGCCGTTTTTATGGCTGTGTAGATGGGTCAAGAATGAATATTGAGAATCGTGTTAGGCAAATTATGAAAGGATGCACCACCCATCCGCATGAAGAAATAATGTCAAGTTTGTAGGAAAGAGGGGTGTAGGCGGTAGGCCGAAGAGGGAGATGCGACATTGAGGAAGAATGCGGACTGCGTGGGCATCAACATCTTCATAACTCATAATAATTTCCCACCTGCTTCCGCACACCATTCCAGCTCCACAATCCAAACTTCCGCAAAAGCCAACATTACTCAATGCTTTAATTACGCTTGCATAGGAGATGCCAAGTGATTGTCAAGCTCAAGCCTCACACAGTGTGCTGTGTCCCAGCAGGACCCACAACTTGTCCCCAATTGGCTACCGACTCAAGTAGTGCGAGGTCATCCTCTACTAAGAGAAAATATGACTTACGGAGGGTGATATGAATCGAATCTAGTGATTTCACAATTTGTTCAGATGCATGATAAAGTGGAACGTTTCCTTAGGCCACACAACACACTTCTCATCTGGTTGGGCGTGCACAGAATGTATGTATGTAGGTAGAAAGTAAGGGAGTCACAGTACAAACACATAAAAGGGAAACCTGTTCTACGGCAAGGACTTGGTGCTTGGGGAAATGGGGGCATAACGCCCACAAGGAAGACTCGAGACAATGCAGTTGCACGACAAAGGAATAGAGGAGAGGGTGGCATG